TCCCTCTCTCTCTCTCTCTCTCTCTCTCTCCCTCTCCCTCTTTCCCTCTCTCTCTCCCTCTTTCTCTCTCTCCCTCTCCCTCTTTCTCTCTTTCTCTCTGAGCAACACATCTAGAGAAGAATTTGGAGGAGGTTTTGAACCGAGCCAGATCAATTGAATATACATTAAAAAATCCTTGCATGGTTAAGGCACTCGTGCTGTTCACAGACTGACAGTCACAACAGTTATTTTTGAATATCTTAATATATATTTTTGAACAGTCACCCTTTTTCGGTGTAAGGTGAACATAACACGTGTTCCTGTAAAAATCTTGCGATTGACATTTTGCAGTATTAGTATTAGATAACTTTCTCTGCTCTATGTATGCGAGAAAGACAAAGTATTTAATTAGAAAAAAATCTTATTTAAAAAGGAATATAAATTTTAAAAAATCTAATTTTTTTTCGAAGAATAAAAGATTCTTATTCATTTTTATAATGAGTAAATCCTTAAAATCATCACTTTATCAACATTTTTAAAGCAACCACCAAATATTTCCTATTATACTCCACAGTTTGGTAAAAAATAAATATTACAAACTTCTAGGGATTGTAGGGGGTCAAAGATGATTGCTATTTGCCAAAGAATGTGAGTATGTAGTCAAAACTTTCAAATAGTACTGGTACACAAGTTACATTTCTATTTGCAGCCCTGGTTGGAAGACAACTCCTCCTGTATTGGTGTTTGACAAGTATATAAAGTCTCAGCGTTAACTCCAAAACTTTCTTGAAGTGATAGCCTTGATCTTTGATCCATGCATTGTAACAGCATGATCTGACTCAAAGCTGAAAAATAAAGGCAAAATACTCTATATTGTGATTGCTAGTGGGTAGGACATCCCCTGAGACTTTGTGTAGCCACTCATGTGAAAGCACTTGGTCCTCTATGAATTCACATTTCTTATTTTTGTTTACAAACTTGAAGTTTCCGTTTGCAAAGGGTCAAGTGAAATATTTTTAATGAATGAAATTATAGTCATAAATTAACTTTCCAAAAATGGCTTCTGGAAAATACTGTTGTTTTTAATCTTCTGGGTGTGTTTTTGGTCAATTTTTGACTTTCAAGTTTAATAATAAACTTAATTTGTCTTTTTATGAGACAAATTATCAAATTATCATCACACTAAAAAAATATTTATTGAAAATATTTGAGTTATTTTTTAAATTGTCATTGAAATTGTATGTCTTACACCCAAGTTTTAAATGCTTTATTATGATTTCTTTTTGTATGAAATGTCTTTTAACAAATACTTTTAGACTTTATTTGTATAGATATTTTGTGTACACAATTAAAATACTTCACTCTTTTTCAGACGAGTATGATCAGTCTAGAAGCACTGCCAAAGATCATTGATACTACACAGTTGACAGGAGATTTAGAAGGAACTTTGCATTATGATCACGCTCAATGGATTGATATGAGATTGGTATGTAAAATAAGCAAATTTCATTGAAATTTCCATTTAATATTCCAAATTGGGAATGACATGAGCTTTATTTTCTGTAATTGAAGGCATTAGAAGATTTTGTATGGCAAGCAGCTGATCTCTTAGACAGACTGGATGATTTACAAGAAGACTTAAGTAGAAATGACTTCGCAGATGATGTTATAGGAGCCAAACGTGCCATTGATCTCCATAATGAGATGAAAAAGAAAATTACTAAAGCGCCTGTTGAAGAAATTGATCTCATTGGTCAACGGTTATTGCAGAGGTAATGACATAAAGCTATTAAAAATTAAAATAATTAATATATATGTGATTTTCATTTATTAAGTGATGTTTTCTAATTTTAAAAAATCATAATTAGTATTTCTCTTGGTGCATGCATTAAAAAAAAAAGTGTGCAAATTCTAACTTTTATAATTATTGGATTAGAGTCTGATATTGACAATATATACAGTAAAACTTGCTCAAAGTGGAATCTCAAAGGACCAGAATTTTTTTCTGTTTTAGTCGTTACCGCTTAATGCGGTGTAATACTGTAGAAATTGCGATTGACAGGATTGCAATTTATGTTCACATTTGATAGATTCCTTCATTATACATGTTCCGCATTCAGCAAGTTTTACTTATGTTCTTTTTAAAATACTATAATGGTTAATCAAATATTATCATGTAGGTTATCTGGTGACTCGAACAGCGGATATGACTCTGGTTATTCGGGACGAGACAGTGAAGCAAGCTCTGTTGTGTCAAACCCAGATCTCCTAGCATCAGTGCCTCAAATCCTACAAAATGTGGAGGCTGTACGTTCATCTCAGCAACATTTAAAAACTTTATGGCAACATAAGAAAGTAAAATTAGATCAGTGTTTTCAACTCAGGTTGTTTGAACAGGACTGTGAAAAGGTTTGTTCATTTTAGATGTAAACATTTTAGTTTCTGGTTTTGAACAGAACAAATTTGTTTCAACCAATTTCTGTTACAGATGTTTGATTGGATTTGCCATAACCGTGATGTGTTTCTCATGAACTATGTAGAAATAGGACATTCATATCAGGTAGCCAAAGAACTTCAAGAAGAGCATAACCATTTTACCATGAGCTCAATGGTAAGTTCTTCCTTCCTTTCATAAGTTTTGAATTTTTTCCTATGTCCATCAGTCGTAGTTAAAATAAATAGTTGTATAATGGAACCCCTTCACTGTTGAAAAAATGCACTTGCGAACACTCTTCTGGGCATGAGTGGATTTCAGGGAATTATTGTTAAATATATCATTTTGAGTTAGCTTTGTATTTTATGAGCTGTGGTTTTGAGATAAATCTGTTAATTTTCTTCTCTAAGCTTATTCCTGACTCCAAGCAAGTTCACAGCAAGTTATTCACAAAAGTAAATAGAAAATTTTTCCTGATTTAATTTTACTGTTTTAGATCAAATTTCGTGAATATTAGAAGTAATTTCTGGCTTGAATTCCTGTAATCTGTGTTACATTAACTGATCTGTGCACAGTGCCTGGGGATAGGATGCAAGAGTGTAATTTGGATAAATTTATTTTTTTAAAAGCCTACTCTTTCAATCCATAAATTGTTTTCTGGAAATGTAAAGAAATACTTTAGGTACATAATATATAGTTGTTCATTACAGAACCAAATTTCACTTTTTGTTTTAATTTATTTTATTTTTATCTTTCAATTTTGTATATTTTTTCACTTTAGTCATATGATTCTATTGTAAAATATTTGTGCATTTTTTATAAAACTGATATTAAAAAGTTAAACTTAGTTTCAAATTAAAAGAATCAGAATTAATGTATTCTCAAACCTGTTAAATAGTAAAAGCTATTTAATAGGTTTGTGAATGTTTAAAAAATATTATATTTCACTGTTAGGAATATTTCAAGTATAATATTCTTCCAGGTTTGTAAAATCTAATTTTGTGACTGAAAACTGAAGTGATGTATCTCTTTTTGCCTGCCTTGACTGTGAAATGACTAGGACTATGGTCATTTTAAACATGTGTCAGTAGGACTAATAGTAATTAAATATTCAATTCCCAAAATACATCATTTTCGATTTACAATTTTTTGGGCTTAAATTGAAGAGAAATAGTAGTATTACAACATATTCAAAATTAACTGATATATATATTTTTTTTTATATTCAAATCACTGAAATTATTTTGTCAAGATATATTTTTTATTTCATTTTTATAAATACTTTCAAACTTTTACAATAAATTGTATTAAAGACCTATGGAAAACTATAATAAATATATTATTTAGTGCCAAACTGATAAAATGTTGGGCCTTTAAAAAGTTTTGAAATAATATTATTTGAAAGAACAATTTACCTTCAAAAGAAATTTCTGTTTATTGATTTCACAAAACTTCATGAAACAAAATTGTGGAAAGAAATTTATTAAACTAAAACCTTTATTCCATCAATCTGTTAGATCAAAAGATTATCTCATGTTAATTATAGGCTTCAATGTCAAAGTACCTAACTTTACATACTTAGTCTTACACATTTCATGTACATAAAAACTTATGTGTCTCATTACTACGTTTATTTTTTTAAGCTCAGAGTAATTGTATGCCAGGTATGAACTATCAATTAAAGATTTGAATTTATTGATCATGATTTATTTTAGCTTTGGTTACATTACTGTAACTCACTTGACACGGTGAATTATCAGCTGACTCTTTCTTTTAAGAGTTTAACACAAATTCACAGTTTTCTCTTGTCTTATTATGGCCTTTGGATTGTTCTTACTGAAGCCTTTATGTCATGATCTCCAGAAAATAATTTCGTAACAGTTAATATTATAATGACATGGTTGTTGTATTTATATTTCAGTTGTTTACTTCTCAGAAGTAAACAAGTAGTAGGTAGTGATAACAATTGTAGCTACAAAATAGCGATGTTTGTAGAATCCGCAATTAAATCAGGTACATTGAGTAAAACGTGTGTTAAATTGTAAATGTTCTGTAGAAACACTTGAAGAGTCAACACCATCCTCCTGCAAAATATATCACATATTGATAAATGTTGTGCACTAATTCTCTTCAATTTACAATTTACAATTTTCCTAATTTTTTTGTGAAATTTTGTTTGTTTAATTCAATCAAGGAAGTTGTCCTTTTAAGCAAAAATTAGTTAGAATACAGTTTTTGTTATCTGACATTTTTTGTGACTGCTGAGTTTGTGCTGCTTGTAATTGTGCTTGTTAAATTGTTAATCTTTGTGTATTTTGTGCACGTAAAATCTTAGAATAGGCACATTCAGATATTTATTTCATAATATCAATTAATAATAATAATAATAATAATAATAATAATAATAATAATAATAATAATAATAATAATAACAACACCAATAATCATCATCATAATAACATAATCAATATTAATCATCATAATCATAATCATCATTATGTTCTCTTGTATCTTTTAGTTTTTTTGAATTGTGTATTTCTTAAATGTCCTTTCTTATGTTGATGAATAACATTATACTTTACTATTGCTCATGACCTAATTACAATATTTGAAATTATAAATAATATAATCAAATATATAATTTGTTTTGTTCTTTGTGTACATATTTTTTATGATAGTTAATTTAACTTATTTTATTTTTGTTATGTCAGTTACGACTGTTTGATACAGTATATCAAACAATTATTATTCCATAAATATTTCATCATTATCAAACAATTTTAATTTTTATACTAAATGTTTTTGGCATTTTGGGTCATAGTCTTACTGTGCCGTCTAGCTGACTGTGTGAGAGAGACATGAGGCGAACGTGGCGTATCACACCATGAGATGCTAGTACACTGTCCATGAGCCACCCTAGGGCCCTTCTATGCTAAATGTAGTGGTTAAGTGTTCAAATTTGAGATATAAATCATGAAAACATTTTGAAATACTACATATTGCAATTGTTATTCTTTTAACAATTGGATAAAAATGGTTACAGTATATTATGAATCATGATTATGAAACAAAAAGTTTTCTTATGTTTCATTGCTGGTCTTTATGGATTCATTAAAACATATCACCTTCTTTGTGAATGATTGTATGACAAAAGGCTATTGGGTGAGACATGGCACTTTTACATGGTCATCACCAGACATACTCGTTGTATGGACACATGTTTGTGAAGTAGGGGAGAGGGGAGGAGCATTGCATCAGAAAGACCTGCACATTGGGCGTGTCGGGCAATGATTGTGCAAAAATGCCAAGCCTCGCTGCTTAGGATGTGCAGCAAGGTCATGCAAACACCATTTTTTGCTCTGAAACAACATATTGAACAAAAAATATTTTATTGCACAAACATCACCATCTTTTTTTTGTCTTGGAAAAAGAGTGTTATTATGAAGTCAATATGCTAGTGCTCAAATAAATTCATGAGAGCATTAGAGCTATAAGGAAGCTTCTTGTTGCAACTATAAGTGCAACTAAACAAACATTGTGGCCTTATTGAAAATGAGATGTAGAATTTCTAGTATTCTGATATTTCTAATATTCTACGCTGTATGTAATGGTAAGAATGTGTGTGTTTTTTGGGGGAGATAAAAATAATGGAGATAAAATTGACATAATAGGGACGAAGGGTATTTTTTTTTTTAATTGTAGAAATTAAAAATTTAAATTGGGAAAGAATTAAGCCTGTTAATTCAACTCATATTGTATATATAATGTATTTTTGTTCAGCATTTTATAAACTTATTTTATTTACATTTCAATTGAACAATTTGGGAATGAAAAAAATATAAAGTTTTCTGAAATAAGGAAAATCATTAGTTAATACTGTACAAAAGAGTAAGAAATGCTTTCAAGCCATTCTTGCATTTTATTCTTTCTATCATTCATTCCATACAGTTTTATTACTTAAGTGTCATTACTTAATGGACTATGTGTATTTGTATAAGAATTAACTTGAATGTATCAAATATTTACATTCTGTTTAATATTTCCTTAAGATTCTATAGAAAGGCTAGTGAAAATGGTCATTTTTATTTATATTTCGAGAGTTTAATTTACTGGGTTTCTTTCTCAAAGAACTGACATTCAAGAACTTGTTATGAAAACAAGATGTTACTGTTCAGTTCAGTATTAGGTAATTTCAGAATACTTTCTGTGATCAGTAATTTGTTTATTGTAACTTAAGCAAGCTACATGATATTTAAAAGGGCAATGAGAAATGTTTTGAGATAGTTATTAAACACAAGATTAATGTAGGTACATAAAAAATTCTAATTGGCAAAAAATTCTTATCTTCTGTAGTTATTTATTGGAGTGATAATATATGCATAAAGGTATTTATATTCCAAGATAATTGTTTTTCCCTCTTAGCGCTTCACAAGTAAAGAAAATGCTACCATTGCATTTGCTTGATTTCAATACACTAAGCCTACAGTCTCAACATGAGAGTTCAGTGGGAGTTAATGTTTTTGTTTATATCATGTTGCAGGTTGTTGATTTGAAAGCAATTAGAGGTGACTTTTCAAGTGTTTCAAGAACTTTTATAATAGAAGTTAAAGTGCTCATCATAATCTGTGATTTTTCAAAGTCTTCTTCATTCTCATTAATTTAAGACACCTCTTCCAAATACTACTGTTTCTCGAGTGTTACATGTGAATTTCTTGCTTGCAACCTTCATCCTGTGTGTTGTAATAGAACTATTTTATGTAGAAGTGAATTTTTGCAATAGAGTTGCTTGACATACCTTGGTATTGTTCTTCAGCCTATTACACTGTTAATTTTAAATTGCTATATTTGTTATTAATATAGATAATTAAAAAATATATTTATATAATTTTAAAGCATATTCTGAACATAACATATTATGTTAATTTGTTTTGCACTTTTCCCCTCAGCAGCTGATATTAGCTAGAATCTGATTTGTACTACCTTGTGAATTTTGTATAAATTAGTGTT